TGGCCTACAAATATTTCAAGTCTATGAGAGGCCAATCATTGTTGGTTTCATCATTGAGCATTGGATTTATGACATGCACATATTGATATTAGCCTTGTCTCTCTAGTACTATGGAGATTATGTTTTGATGGTTGTATTCACAATGGCCAAAGTGTTGATGTTGTTTATATATCTCCTTATGGTACTATTTTTGAAGCCTTGTGTCGCTTAGAATATTTTGATGCACGATTAATCAAAGCCGGATATGCATTGTTATTCGGATTGAATCTTTTACTTGCTATAGGTGCTATACATATTGAGGCTTTCGGTGATTCGTTATGAGTAGTGCAACAAATATCCAAGGGTTATCAATGTTTTGACGAATCACTTACAATTTATCTTGAGGCACGTCTAGATGTAATATCCTCCTTGGGTTGCTTTGAAATTATTCCCACATCTAGACATGACAATTAAAAAGAGTTGGCACAGCAAAGCATCCGGCTACTATGTTACTCATGGTGCATTGTATTTCTATCAATAGCTGATGCTTAGTCTCGTCAGAATAGGTAAGGCCGAACCGAAGTCCACCGCTTCGGCCACTAATGAATTTTTCTTATGTAGGGAAAAGTAAGGATTGGAGAAAGTTTATTGTTGATTATCTGTAAAATCCTAGCAAAAGGGTGAATAATATGGTTCCGAGGATGACCTTGAGATACATATCTATGGAACTTTATCATTGGATTGTTAATGAAGTTGAGAAGGTTTCACCAAAGTTTGCATCAAGAATTCAAACAAATAATGGCCGATATATATTTATCGCCCTAAGCACATGCAAAGTGGCCGATGGAGTGTTGACATCATCCTTAGAACCAACATGGTACAAGTTATTTTTCAGCACGCTAGCTTTGTCAAAAAACAGGGGGGCATGTGTTGACGCTCGAAAATGGCATGATCGCAAAGAGTGACTTGAGGCTATAATGAGATGATGTTAAAATTATGAGTTCATGTCACCACTGAATGGCTCTCTTCAAGCCGATTTAAATAAATATAGAGATGGTCCAAAACGAAGCTCGGATGCAAAAGTTATGCCAATCTTAGAGATGCTCGTATTGACACTAGATTAAAGAATGGCGTGAAACATAATTAAGAACGCCTCGGATGTAAAAAGTTACAACTGCAAAGTTCTTCGTCTCGTCAAAACAGACGATTTTGATATAAAAATCGTCCCCATCCGAGGTCGTATGCAAAGGTTATAGTCAAAACCGTGCGTTGCAGCAATGTTTGGCCGGATTATCCGGGCCGGGGTCCGGATCATCTGGGTAACTGAATCACAAAGACACCAAAAGGTTGGCACTGAAGCCGGATGATCTGGGTCCAGTCCCGGATGATCCAGATGAAGGCCGGACAGTCCGGGTAGAAGTCCGGACGTCCGGGCAGTTTTTTCTGCTGTAGATGTTAGAAAACAGCTTGAAAGTCCCTCAAGATGACCTCAGATGGAAAAGTGTTCAACATGAAAATTGTGCGTCTCGTCGAGACGGTTGATTATGGTATAAAATTCGCCCAAATATGAGGTCGTATGTGGATTTTAGATCCCAAACAATGAGCTGCTGTCAGAAAACTGGGCTAGGCTGTATCGTCCGGGCCTAGAGCCGAACATCCGGGCCGGAGGTTGTGAGAAGTCCAAGTTTGGTCAGATTTTGATGATTTGGACGGCAAGGCAAGTCCTTTTCTTGTACGAGAAGTCCATCTGCCTCTTATATAGATAAGAGGTGACGGCCGATTGAACAACAACACACAATCGATCAATTCAACTACCACCTTTTACCTTTACTTTTCTCTCTCTCTCTCTCTCTCTCTCTCTCTCTCTCTCTCTCTCTCTCTCTCTCTCTCTCTTGTTCTTCTTCTTCCTCGTTATTCATTCTTTCTTCATTTGCAGGGTGGCGAACCTCGAGGCCCTAGGGGCGGTCAGGCCGACCTAGGGCAGCCCATAGCCACCGCGCGCCCTGACGGGGTCCCTCCCGGGCGTGTGGGGTTTCGGGTCTACAAAAGCGCCTGCCAGATTGCTTGCGCACCGTGCTTCCGTACGGGTCTCCTTCGACGTGAGCTGCGGTGCATCACCCTCGGCGTTGGAGGTACACGGCGGCGTGTTTGTGTGCGAACAAACGTCACAACATAACTGGGTGATTATAAAGATGCTCTACAGTTATCTCCGAAGGTGTTTGTTGGGTTGGCATAGATCAAGATTAGGATTTGACACTCCAATTAATGGAGAGATATCTCTGAGCCCTCTCGGTAATGCACATCATAAGAAGCCTTGCAAGAAAAGTGACTAATGAGTTAGTTGCAGGATGATGCATTACGGAACGAGTAAAGAGACTTACCGGTAATGATATTGAACTAGGTATGAAGATACCGACAATCGAATCTTGGGCAAGTAACATACCGATGACAAAGGGGATAACGTATGTTGTCATAACAGTTCGACCGGTAAAGATCTTTGTAGAATACGTGGGAGCCAATATGAGCATCCAGGTTCCGCTATTGGTTATTGACCGGAGAGGTGTCTCAGTCATGTCTACATAGTTCTCGAACTCGTAGTGTCCGCACGCTTAACGTTCGATGACGATTTTGTATTATATGAGTTATGTGATTTGGTGACCGAATGTTGTTTGGGGTCCCGGATGAGATCATAGACATGACGGGGAGTCTCGGAATGGTCGAGAGGTAAAGATTGATATATAGGACGATAATATTCAAACACCGGAAGTGTTCCGGAGGGTACTAGGTACATATCGGGTCACCGGAAAGGAGTTTTGGGCAGTCCCAGCAAAGATATGGGCTTAATGGGCTAAGGAAGGGACAGACCAGCCCACTAGGGGCTGGTGCGCCCCTTCCCCTGGCCGTAGGCCCTAGAGGAAGGAAAGGAAGGGGCGCCACCTCCTCCTGCCTTTCCCCCTTGGTGGTAGAAAGGAAAAGGGGGGCACCTCCTCATTCCTTCTCCTCATCACCAAAAGAAGGAAAGGGGGGCGCCGGCCTAGGGAAAGAGCCCAAGTAGGATCCCTCCTACTTGGGGCGCCCCTAGGGCTGCTTCTCCCTCCCTCCCACCTATATATACATGGGGAGGGGTGCCTAGAACATACAATAACATCTGTTAGCCGTGTGCGGCGCCCCTTCACAGATTACACCCTCAGTCATATTCTCACGGTACTTAAACAAAGCCCTGCACGGATCACTTCACCATTCGTCACCACGCCGCCGTGTTGACGGAACTCATCTACTTTCTCGACACTTTGCTGGATCAAGAGTTCGAGGGACGTCACCGAGCTGAACGTGTGCAGAACTCGGAGGTGTCGTACATTCGGTGCTTGATCGGTCGGAATGAGAAGAAGTTCGACTACATCAACCGCATTGACAAACGCTTCCGCTTTTGGTCTTCGAGGGTACGTAGACACACTCACCCCCTCTCGTTGCTATGCATCTACTAGATAGATCTTGCGTGAGCGTAGGAATTTTTTTGAAACTGCATGCTACGTTTCCCAACACAACTGCCTTGGGAAAAAGTTTTTATTAAATGTGGGAATGAAATCTAGCAGCCATCACCATATCTTCCTCCTCCAATCTACCCTCCTCCTCCGGTGGCGATCCACATTGTCCTCGCCTCCGGCGAGGTCTCAATAAGCCCTTGGATGCATCCTCGTGTCGAGATCTGCCGTTGTTCAATCCGAGAAATAGGCAAAACGAAAGCAACTCCACCTTCTCGTGTGCATCGGCAGCTAGCCACGTCGCACTGGTATTGCTATTGACGGAAAGCCACCTCCTACTTTGAGACACAAAAATCTCAACCATGGAGTTCGATCCATGAGAGGTTAGGACTACCACCACCCTCTTATCCATCAAATCACTAGTTGGTTCGATTTCTATTCTCATGTAATCGAGAAATAGCAAACCCGCCAAAATAAACATTTATTCCGAAACAAACTTCACATGAGTAAACATTTTTTTCCTCCTCCACAAGAAACTCTTAGGTGGCTAGGGTTTGTCCTACCCGCATCGGCGCCGGCGGCGGTCTGCCTCGCCTCCCATGGGCTTTGGTCCGTGGAGGTGCGGAGGACCCCGACCCCTCGCCGGCAGGAGGGATCTCACTCTTGTTCTTGTTTCGTTCAGCGTCTTGGTTAGGGTTGTGTGGCGGTGGCAATGTCCCCTAGTAGAAATAATGTCTCCCACATCTGATCCCCGTCGCGATGGTATATCTAGTGTCATCGAAGGGCGTGTGAAGTTTTATCTCCGTCGGATCTTGCGGAACTCTATCGGTCCTGGTCATTGGTGGATCTATTTGGATCCAGTCTTCGTTCGTCATTGGATGTGTGTCTAAAGATTTGATCCTTCCTATTTACGCTTCTCTTCATCGGCGGCAGATGTTGTTCTTGTGTGTTGGTCCCGTGTGGCCTTAGCACGATGACTTCCCGATTGTCTACTATAACATGTTTGCTCGGCTTCTGCGAGGAAGGGCGATGACGGTGGCGCGTTTTCGGCTCGCTCTAGTGCTTGTAGTTTTAGCTAGGTGGTCCATGGATCTGGTTGTAATTATTGTTACTTCTGATGTTCTATGTACTGCCATGACAGATGATGAATAGATTGGAAGCTTCTCTCGCGAAAAAAAAATAGTGATTGGTAAACAAATACTAGCAACCAAAATTTCCATTGTAACATCATATACCCGATGTACATATGTATGTATACATATATCAAACTCATGTATACATATTTACACCATTACGTAAGTACGCACTCACGCAAGTTCACAACAATTAACGAATAAACCAATACCATTCCCACCCGTATAATTAACACCCCCTATGTATTTCATACTTCTCGAAAACGCCAAAAGAGAAAGAAAGAAAGAAATAACCCCCAAAATCGAAAAAATAACACAATTTGTATACGTACGCGGGTACCTATACTGGTATGCGTGTACATGTATCTGCTCTGCTCGACACGACCTAGTAGAAATATATAAATACTCAAGAGTCTTTGGTGTGCTCCAGCACGTCGACCATGAGCTGCATCGCCTTCACCTGCACCTGCAGCCGCACGATGTAGTCGGCGGCGCGGAACAGGAGCTCGTCCACTCCGTCGTCCTCCGCCATCTCGTCGCTGCGGTGATCGCCGCCGCTAGGGACGAGCCGCCTCAGCGCTTCCATCTTCCTCCTGATCGCCTCCATGCAGCGCCGTCGCCCGGCCTTTGTCCTCGTCGCCTTCTTGCCGCTCCTTCTCTTGGCATTCCTCGGCGACGACTTAGGAGCCACGGCGGAGTATGCCGGCCCGCTCCTCGCCGTCGTGGTCGTGGCGGTGGTGGCGTTGCAGTAGATGCTGGCGTGTGCAACCATGGCGGATCTTGATCGCAACGGCTACTACGTGGAGTTGGAATGAGAGATAGAGACAGAGAGGCAGGCAAGTGCGTACGTAGAGTAGTGGCTAGAGGAGATGGATCGATGAGGGGAGATAATGCAGCTGGTGGCTGAGTATGCATGTGTTGGAACATGGCGAAAGGGGTGCCATATATATAGGAGAGGAGAGGCCGCGTTGGAGCTGCTAGGTTGGAAGGGGTGAGATATGTGGGGGAATTAGGTGTCAGAGCATAAAGAACCCATGTTGTGTCCTGTGATTAAGCATGCACATGCATCAAGCATAGCTAGATTATATACGTATATTTATGTGGATCATATTCTACATTATTTATGTGATGCTAGAGAGAGAGAGAGAGAGGGGCATGCATGGGAGGTATTGCTTGAGGGAGAGGGCATGCATGTTCCTCCTAACTCAAGACCACATGCCACCACATGATATCTTAAACAACAAACATTTCTGATCTTCTCATCCATCCAAACACAGGCAGACACCTCTCATACACCACCAACCAACCATGCATGCACTCCTTTTATGACCTCCTCATCAGAACACCCTGTATCCCTCCCTCCACTGCATGTTCCTCCTCAAGGCGCCACTACCATGCATATGCATGCATGCATGTGTGATGTGTCAAGGGCCCACATGAACCACACCACTCTAACCCCCTGCCACCTCAGCAAAAGTGCATGCAGCACAGAAAAGTCTCATGCGTCATGTGCACACATACATAGTTTGCTAAGCACGATATAGGAGTATATTAGTACATGTAATACATCTCCCTCCTCCCTATGTTAACTATAGTTAAGTACTGGTAGAGATAATGTGCCACCATGTTCCCCTCCGGGGAGCTGATCATGGTATGCACCATTGTGCCGATTTAACTAATTGGACCAATCAAATTCGTTGCACATGCAGACCATCTCCATGATTTGGGGGCCTGATTTCCTGACATGTTCTTCCCTTTTGACATATATTCTTCGCTATGGTAACGTGCACGACACCCTTGATCTTGATCCGCGCGACGTCGATTGGAATGTTCCGCTAACACGTGTCGATATTGCCAACTGTCATCTGCTGGCAACATATATAGTAGAGCTTCTTGTGCTACTGCCGGCACATGTATCGGTAGGCCATGACGTCGATCAGCACCTCATACTCACTCCTTCCATCTATACATGGTCTATGTGTTTTTCAAGACCACATTTGACTATTGTTAAAGTTAATAGTACACGAGATGTATAATGTGAAAAATTTATATCATTGAAAGCTCCTCTCACATACGAATTTAACGATATGCTTTATGTAACTTGCATGACATATATTATTGCTCTAATATTTAGTCAAAATTAGCTTCGAAAAACGCATTAGGCCCTATATAAACGGAAGGAGGGAGTATATTTATTACAGATGTGCCACTAGATCATGCCAGTTGTTGATACATCGACCGACAATCAATTGATGGATTAGCGCAATTTGCGGGATAAGAATTAGTGCTTAATTGCCATGAGCAGTACGTTGTGCACTTTCTAGGAAGATTCCTATAGAGATCATGGAGTAGTATAGTCTACTAGTTAATTGTGCTGATGCATTCAAGTATGGCGGCAGCTGAGCATCGATGACTAGGTTCGGTCGGTTGATAGTTAATGTTAGGCATGTGATTAAGGTTAACCGGACTGCACATGGATAAGTCAAACATACAATACAACCAAGGTCAATTATCTATGTATAAGCAATATACTATTATGTTGTGATGTAAATAGATGGAGTTCAGTTTGTGCTGGTGTACGATGATACATGGTAATAATAACAGTTATATGAGCAAAAGGTATATAACTGGAGTTCAGTTATATGAGCAATATACTATTATGTTGCGATGTGAAAATATGGAGTTCAGTTTGTGCTGGTGTACGATGGTACCTGATAATAATAACAGTTATATGAGCAAGAGGTATATTAATTGGACTAGTAGAATGCCCGTGCGTTACCACGGGCTCTTGAAATATTTTACCAGAGTTACACATTGTTTGACATTGACACATCTTGAACATGTAACACACACTGAAGTCCATTATTGCAATGTAACAAACTAAGTGATGTTACAACTTAACATCTATTACAAAAATATTAATATCTAGATGATGCGCTTAAGAAATTCTTTCACAATATCAGGAAAGTTTCCTCTAGCTTCATTCCCACGATGATTTAGCAAGTATAATAAAAAATGCTTCCTCAATTCATACCCATCCTGCAGAAAAAATAAATGTAGTTAGTATCAAAACTTCACGCCGAAGGTCTTAAAACATGTAACCCACAATACTCACAGTGCAAACTGGCTTGACCAATTCTTTACCGTTCCACCAGAGCATAAAATGAAAAACAAAATAGCCAGACACATTCCTGAAAAAACTTTCAATTAATAATATAAATAAAATAATGATAACAAAAGTAAATAATCTTGTTATGAAATCATTACCCGTCTATACTCGTTGGAACACCGGCTGGAAATAAACGATGCCATTTAGATATATCGGAATTCCACCCAGGCAGCTTTATTTCGAGTGCTTCTTTGAAATCCCTTGAAAAACTTTTTAATTTCAGTGAATGCCTCAAGTTTTTATCCTCTGACGATTGTGATGATTGAATAGGACCCATACTATATAGACGACGTGCCTCTTTGTCGATGACGTACAATATGTATCGGACGATAAATGCATAGGGAAGATAAATCTACAAGTGGAGCTATTAGAAACAAAAACAAAGCATGATAACAATGGACATAATATTTTATTTACCTTATTGCAAGATGAGATGTCGGTCTCCATTCCAGGCCAGCTATCAAATAATGTTGCCAATGTCTGGATAGTTTCCTTCTCACAAAACTTTTGACCTCGTGTTGACTCTAGTAGCATGGACTAAGTAAAAGAAGAAATATTGTTTCAACATTTTGATACTAATGGCACCTAGAATGAAGAGTTATGGTAACTTACACAAAATCGTAGATCCATATAGTGTATAGAAGGGTCTGTGAACAATATTCCCTCGTCACATGCCAGCATAAGCATGGCGGTGTTGAAGCAATCATTGTCCATGGGCTGCTCCATGTTAAGTATGCACTGAAGTTTCTTCAGACTTAAACTCATTGGATCGGGTGTGGAGCTCCGGACCCATACCTTCCTGTAATTTTGATGGTAAGAAAAACAATAATATACATCCGCACATTAAATATTAATACATGATACTTACTCCAAACCCAGCATCATTGATTAAGGTTAACCGGACTGCACATGGATAAGTCAAACATACAATACAACCAAGGTCAATTATCTATGTATAAGCAATATACTATTATGTTGTGATGTGAAAATATGGAGTTCAGTTTGTGCTGGTGTACGATGGTTCCTGGTAATAATAACAGTTATATGAGCAAGAGGTATATAACTGGAGTTCAGTTATATGAGCAATATACTATTATGTTGTGATGTGAAAAGATGGAGTTCAGTTTGTGCTGGTGTACGATGGTACCTGGTAATAATAATAGTTATATGAGCAAGAGGTATATAACTGGAGTTCAGTTATATGAGCAATATACTATTAATGTTGTAATGTAAAAAAATGGAGTTCAGTTTGTGCTAGTGTACGATGGTACCTGATAATAATAACAGTTATATGAGCAAGAGGTATATTAATTGGACTAGTAGAATGCCCGTGCGTTGCCACGGGCTCTTGAAATATTTTACCAGAGTTACACATTGTTTTACATTGACACATCTTGAACATGTAACACAAACTGAAGTCCATTATTGCAATGTAACAAACTAAGTGATGTTACAACTTAACATCTATTACAAAAATATTAATATCCAGATGATGCGCTTAAGAAATTCTTTCACAATATCAGGAAAGTTTCCTCTAGCTTCATTCCCATGATGATTTAGCAAGTATAATAAAAAATGCTTCCTCAATTCATACCCATCCGGTAGAAAAAATAAATGTAGTTAGTATGAAAACTTCACGCCGAAGGTCTTAAAACATGTAACCCACAATACTCACCGCGCAAACCGGCTTGACCAATTCTTTACCGTTCCACCAGAGCATAAAATGAAAAACAAAATAGCCAGACACATTCCTGAAAAAACTTTCAATTAATAATATAAATAAAATAATGATAACAAAAGTAAATAATCTTGTTATGAATTCATTACTCGTCTATACTCGTTGGAACACCGGCCGGAAATAAACGATGCCATTTAGATATATCGGAATTCCACCCAGGCAGCTTTATTTCGAGTGCTTCTTTGAAATCCCTTGAAAAACTTTTTAATTTCAGTGAATGCCTCAAGTTTTTATCCTCTGACGATTGTGATGATTGAATAGGATCCATACTATATAGACGACGTACCTCTTTGTCGATGACGTACAATATGTATCGGCCGATAAATGCATAGGGAAGATAAATATACAAGTGGAGCTATTAGAAACAAAAACAAAGCATGATAACAATGGACATAATATTTTATTTACCTTATTGCAAGATGAGATGTCGGTCTCCATCCCAGGCCAGCTATCAAATAATGTTGCCAATGTCTGGATAGTTTCCTTCTCACAAAACTTTTGACCTCGTGTTGACTCTAGCAGCATGGACTAAGTAAAAGAAGAAATATTGTTTCAACATTTGATACTAATGGCACCTAGAATGAAGAGTTACAGTAACTTACACAAAATCGTAGATCCATATAGTGTATAGGAGGGTCTGTGAACAATATTCCCTCGTCACATGCCAGCATAAGCACGGCGGTGTTGAAGCAATCATTGTCCATGGGCTAGTCCATGTTAAGTATGCACTGAAGTTTCTTCAGACTTAAATTCATTGGATCGGGTGTGGAGCTCCGGACCCATACCTTCCTGTAATTTTGATGGTAAGAAGAACAATAATATACATCCGCACATTAAATATTGATACATGATACAACTCCAAACA